TGACGGAGGCAGTATGACCTCTGAAACGTCGGTTAACATCGACCATACTACACGACTCAACAACCCAGAACACAATTATCTATCTATTGGCCCTACAAATAGAGTAGGGATCAGATTTATAGAGGAACGTATAGACATGTTTGAACTTTCATTTAAATTATTTTTCTCTGTTTAATTAAGTAAGTATTGAGCATTAAATTGGTGCTACGTCTTCTATGGAATTATTTTAATAATAATTACCATATATCTGAGTTGAGTAGTCTTCAGTTGTAGAATAAATTGGTAAAATAAAAAAATATTTGTCGAACTAAGAGTGTAGATTAGAATAAGTACTGAAAATGTAGGGGTCACAATGGCCGCGCTTGGTCACTGGGACCGTGGGTTCGAATCACACTCAAGCCATGGATGTTTTTCTGTGTTGTGCTGTCCTGTGTACAGGCACAGGCCTTGCGACGGGCTGATCCCTCATCCAAGGAGTCCTACCAACTGCCTATAGATCAAGCCAACGAAAAGTTGGGACCCGCAGTGCTCAGGCACTTGAAGAACGGGTCGTTCCCAGTATCCCAGTACTGAAAATGTACACTCATCAGAAACATAAGATGCGCATATATAATGTAATGAAAGATGACCACCTTCCAAACACTAAGCCGAAATTGTGTAACATATTTGTCCGAAATACAAAATGAATTACCCGTAACCCTTTTAATTGTTTATCGGATTACCGTAAATGCCAGATTTCGTACACTCACTTGCAGTTTTTGTCATGACTTATGCCGATATTTTAGCGTTTAACTGCTGCCATGTTCTAGTCTTGTGCGTGGTTAACAGTGTTTTCACACAAGACTTGTCCAGATACCTAAACGAAATTAACTGAAGTGAGTTGATGGAGAATTCTGGTAAATTTGTGTGCAAATTAAGAAGAGCAATGCACTTTTTCTGTCCATAGATGAGGTGAACGCCTTTTTAAAGATGCTTACACAGAAATAAATAATTACTTTAACATTAGAACATACAGAAGAAGTGCAAGAAATTCTGCTTTAATTTTTACTACTGTGGATGTAGTTTTAATTTCGTGACGGACAAGACAACATGTTATAACTACATATAAGCGGAATGATAATATTAAAAAGGATCTTTTCCGATATAATCTGTGCAGAAGTGGAGTGAATAGAACAATCTCAGTTTTTAGGGTCTACTAGTAGGCTCAAGACTATATGACAGTGTTTAACCTTCGGGTTCTAAGGGAGTTCATTGATAATCTGGGTAATTGTACACGTTTCAAGAATGAGTCTGCACTATGTAGTAAGAGGGAAGAGGCCACTTGGAAGATCTAGGTGTAGATGGCGGGATACTGAAGTGGATCTTCAGGAAATAAGTTGTGGTCTCAGGATGACTCCATGACGGAATTCTGTTTTTTTTAATTTTTTAATAAAATCTTGGTTCCACAACTACGGAAGTGTGTTTCATGAATAGTTTAATATTTGCATACTACTTGCGAAATGCCTCGTACAAAGAATTTATGAAGTGATTCTAAAGGTTT